AGGAAGGAAGGAAGGAAGGAAGGAAGGAAGGAAGGAAGGAAGGAAGGAAGGAAGGAAGGAAGGAAGGAAGATGGGGATTCCCACCCAGCTTGGGGACACCAAGTCAGAAAAGGCTGTGGTTAGTCATTTCAAAATGGCAAAAGACCAACTACCTTCTTAATGGTGTTGTGCTTGCTATTCCCCCGGTCGTGGTTCTCGCTGTGCAGAATGTCCATGACCGTCTCCCTCTCCTTCAGCTTCAGAGCTTCGATCTCAGTCTTCAGCTCATTCAGCTGCTCCTGCAGGTGCTTGCTCTTCTCCATGTATTCCACCCTGGGAATGTACACATGCAAAGAACCTGCCGTGAGCTGCCAACGTAAGAGATTTTGCAGACTTTGCTAAAATAGGTGGCAGATGTAATTATCCTAAAAGCAGTGCCAGGCGGGTGAGACTGAATGGCACCAGCAATGTTCAGCCAAACTCTATTTTTTGTGAATCTCGGTAGCATTAGAGTAGGTTGAAACCTGTCTTCCACCTGCTGAGGACAGGGGTAATCAGATCAATGATGAAGCAGGCAGGAAATAATGAGTAGGCCTGCAAACTGACATTTGTTGGAAAATCTTCAGCTCTACCACACAATGGCCTTCCTCCACAGCCAACCATGGAGACTTCCATGAGAACTATGGGAGAAACCATCATGGAATTTGTACAGTGTGGCTTAGAATGTTGAGGGAAGCCAGCTACTGTGGTCTGGAAAGTGGTAACTGGCTTAGCAGGGTGTATGAACCAAGCCACTATGGCTTGTTCAACAAATCATTGTTTATGCAAATAATGGCTTAGCATAAAGCATGAACTGAGCCAAGTTCAGTTACATCCAGGCACCGGATTTAGAACCAGGATGCCAAATGCTTAGTTGTGAAATATCACTGCTAGCTAGAACTCTGCCAATAACTTGAAGGTAACATCAAAACAAAAATGTAGACTTCCTCAAGCTGGGGCTCTGCAAATCTTTTGGTTTTCAACTTCCATCAGCCCCAGCCAGCACAGCCAATGTCTAAGTATGGTGGAACCTGAAGTTCAACACATCCTTACTGCAACAGGTTGAGGAAGGTTGATGTAGAGTTACTGTAATGAAGTCGTAAGAGAACTCACTTCTCCTTCTCTATCTCCATTGACAACCTCTTCATGTCGTTATCCTTGAAGTCAAAGGACAGGCTTTCGCTAATTATGCCAAAGGTTGACAATTCGGCAGACAGAGCAGTTGTACTTGCATTCATGGGCTGCTAAGGACAAAAGCAGAGATTAATCACCGTTTCAGGCAAACAACAGCTAACTGACCACCTTCCCAGCTGATGAGGGGAAACCAAGGAAGAAGCAAGTGGGCACCAGGATGGCTTCTATGTCCTCGGCAGCTGCTGCGACTATCAGCAACCGGCTTCGTTCTTGCATCTCATTTAACACAGACCAGAAAATATGTCGGCCTCACTCCAGGAAACACACTGACTTCTCAAAGCCTTTAAATGAATATAACCATTTTCAGAATCTATATTAAACCATTTTTCATGCTGGAAGTTCACCACTGATTTTATTTATTTCCAACATTTACACCCCATCTCAAGATGGCTGAGCACAACAGCTCACAAAATAACCAGAACACTCTGGCTTCCCAGAGGGACAGCAAACCTGTACGAGGCTGTGTACAGACCACAGCAAGGCACTGGAAGGCTGAATACTCTCTGGACAGACAAGTCCCCAAGTTTGGCTTCTACATGTGTTTTATAGAGTGGGTCTCATTTGCTCCCTACAGGTTGTCTACCTTTGTAAGAACAAGGTCTGAGGTCCATATTAGATCCATAATAAACTACTGGCCATACCATGGGTGCCTATACCTAACACCAGCTGCCCCCGTTTGTTCCCCTCCAGGTATGCTGGACTTTATCTGCCACGGGTTAATGATACGAGTGGGGATTTAGGAGCTGAATTCCCGGCATCCCTTGTGGTCCTTTAGAAAAGCCACGAAGACCTGGCTTTTTCAAGGGGCCCTTGGATAGGCTGATTTGAGACCCCACTGGTATCAGTTGTTTGCATTGCTATTTTCCAACTGGATGGTTTTTATTTGTTTATTGTTGGCTAGGTTTAGCTGGTTTTTAATTGTTCTTTTATCTTCGTATGCTGCTTTGAGTTGCTTTGGTGATTAAGGCAGCTAATAAATTGATGGTGATCATCATCACCATCACCATCATCATTTGGGTTAGAACCTGAATCATCAGAAAATAACTAGTGTAGTCTAAAGACTATAATATACACTCAATAATGATAACAACATTGATGTCTGGTGGACAGCAGTTTCTCTGTTCTTCCTCCCTCTTCTATAAAATGGGGATTTGACAGGGTTACCATAAAGATTAGAAAGGTAAGGCACGTCACATCCTTGGCGTACTTGAAATGCAACACAGGGATGCTACAAGAGGGCAGGGGGTGTTGGTTTTTCTGGGCAGCTGGGGATCTGCTCATTTGCTGAGTCACTTGGAGCTGTTTTGCTTAGCTAGAATTTTCTGCAAGGTACCCCATGGCCTGAACTGTGTAGCTGAAGGAGAAGAAGACTGTTGGAGGGACAATCCTTTCTCCAGCGGGACTAAATGGATTTTGGGACCTTTCAATTGCACAGTCTGGCATTTTTTTTCTTCAGAAGCGGAAAGGTATGACAGAATTCTGAGCTACAAAGCAGTCAGAATAACAGAGTGGCTAACCCTTACTCTTCTGGAGAGCTAAGGCTAAGATGGAATGCCTCCATCTGAACACATCTCATAACTCACTAGAAAAGCTCACACCTCAGAAATGACAGTATCATTTGGACCACTGGGCCCTCATGAAATGTGAGCGTGGGAAGAGTGATGTCTCTTAAAGCCCTCCAAGATTTGTCACAACAAGGTGAAGTCAGTCCCCTTTTGCTAGGCTACTGATACAGCAGAGCATTGCAGGAAATTGGTTGCATACGCTCTGGTGTTCTTGTTCTTCTCTTTTCTAGTTTCTTTCTTGTTCAGTATTATGTGGTTCTTATTTTATACTGCTTTTTATTCTGCTCCATATATTATGAGCCACCCAGAGCCAATTTGGAGCCAGGTGGTGCCAAA